ATATACATTTCCAGGTTTACACAAGCATGGAAAAACTGTTCAAATATTCTTTTCTAATTATCTCCGAAAATTTAATTACAGAATACAGGAGAGTAAAGTAGATAAAAATATCAGAGAAATAGTATTCTTGGTGCATCAGAGATACCATACTAGATATTTTTTAAGAGATTACTGCTAGTATAAAAGAATATTTTTACGTTACCTATTGCAACCAGTAATTCTTGAAAATATCCATCATAACATTCGTTAATGGCATCTACTATGTCTTGCCCAGAGATATTTTGGAACTCCTGGAAAACTAGGGGGGAAAAAAAAAAATCTTTTTTTTATTCTAGTTCATTAATAATGATCAGCTTTGCCCTTTTTTTCATGCTTCCCCCCAGTACTATAACTATTGTGTTTATTTTTTTCCCTATTTATTCTCAGTGTTTCATTAAGTTTGTATCCCCCAGATAAGGCAATCTAAATGAATAGCCTGAAACCTGGCTTCTAGGATATTCTCTCTCTGGGTGCTCCAGTATAAACGGAGAAAGGAATATAATATGATTTGAAATAAAATGAATATATGCCAAAGCCTCTGTTTCACTGGAAGCTTTAATAAATTCTCTATCTAGCAATATCTGTTTACAAAACTTGGAAGAATGTCATGTCATTAAGGCAACTGCCTTGCTCAGCTTGGCTAAAACTGCTCAGAGATTCACAGATTGTGACAAGAAGCCATGGCATGACATGAGTAACATGTCAGCCTCCAAACATGGACACTCTCTGGATGATGCAGGCATCAAGACTTACACAAATATACAGGTTGTGCTTATTCCTTTAGGGAAGGAGGACAATTTTGAACTCACTGCTTACTGCAAAATTTACAGGGGGCTACACTGCAGGCAGAGCCTTCAGATCTCTGTTACAGAAAGGGAGTAGAGCGTAAGCAGGTGTGTTACGTTATGTTAATCCTATCATCACTAGTCTTACAGAAGTCATGACAGAAGAATTAATTTGTTGATCTGTGACAGCAAAGTCATTCTAAGCTACCATTAGAAGTTGGTATAAGAAATACAGCTGGCTGCACAGTGATAAACTTGTCACCGAACAGACTATTTTTCCACTGCAGAACACAAAGCATCTCAAACTTGTCACCAGATACAACAGGTTCCTTTACTGCAGTGGAAGATCTGGATGATCTCACATAGATTTCTTGCAATCTGAAAATATGTCTGATTATCTATTTTCAATAAAAATGTCCCATTACGTGTCTGTCTCTGTGTTCGTTACAAGAGAGCAGATGTGGACCCTGAAGTGCTCCCATGAAAAACTTCTTTGAAACTTCTGGGGAAAAGCTTCAATACAGCAATGTGTTTTCACATACAAATGTTTGTTAAAAATACTCCAACTGCTTCTCCCAAGGTGCTTCCACTCATAGCAAAGAATTACTTAGGAAAAAATGAAGAAAATAGTTTAAAAAAATCCGCCTTATCCTGTTGTGTCGTGTGTAAACTCAGTGGATCCATGGCCTGTGCCTTTCCTTGTTCTTGCATTCTTCTCTCTGTTATTAGGCATCCTGATGTCTGTCTGTTCTCCCTACAGCTGTCTGCAGTCATCAGGCAAAGTTCAGTTTTGCATTACTTCAAAATCCCATTAACATTAGTGGGAGTCTGAGAGCTCCAGCAGTTCACACTTAGGTTTCAGGCTGATACCCTGCTGCACACTGAGCTTCTTGGTATGTAAACCATGGCGCTATTAGCAAGTCAGATTTTTCCTTTCCACTCTGTGTTCAAACAGCTGAACCGCTGGATTACCCATCCACAACTGCTGGTAACTCTTGTTGCAGAGAATCATTTGCAGCATGTTTTTGTGTTCGCCTGTTTTCCGCTGACATGCTTCCCATAGAATCTAATATATCAGAAAATGAAAAAAAACGCAAAAGATTTTAAGTAAAGTCCTAAATCACTTTCCAACATTTGTATTTGTTCTTTTTTTTTATGTTTGAGAAGCTCACATCTGACTATATTTACCATTGCATCCTGAGCAGCTGTAGAAGGATCTGCGTATCCCTCCATCCTTGTTCCCTGGGGGAAAAAAAGATATATTTCTTCAAAAGTTAAATCCTGAAAGACTATAGTATAATGAAATTGTCTCTATATGAAACTGTGTCATTTCCTGAGATAACACATATGGGCTTTTAGATTGGATCAGTGTAGTCAGTGGTTGAATTTGCAACTGTAGAAAGTATCTTCAGGTTGTCACATTATGTCTTGATTTCCTCTAAGTAGAAGAACTCTGAAATGGCAAGTGGTCTTGTGAGAGGAAAAAATGGGGGAAGGGGATAAACCTATCCCATTTTTAGTCCCATTTTAAATAAGCTTTTACCTTACCACCACCATCCCACCATCATTTCCAGTGTTGTGGATGTTATATTGCTTACTATAATATGTAACTATGAGGGGAAAACAAGGATGAGAGTAACATTTGCCATTCACTGATTAGTTCTTATCAAAATGCATATTACCAGAAGAATATTTTCTCATTTTTTTTTCTCCCTGCACAAACCACAGAAGTAAGCACATCAAATAATGGAGATTTTGCTTGCTCATAATTATTGTCTAAAATTAAGGTCCAAGACTAGGAAATTGTTTGACAACTTTGAGACATAATCCAAAGAAGAATACTTCCAATTTTCCCATACATTTAATAGCTTTTCAGTTACACAAATCAAGCTGGTATACTTTAGTAAACACACTAAGATCTGAATTATGTAGTTGTTAGAAAAAGAGAAGAGTACACAACTTTTGGAATTGCTTTTTTACCCGTAATTGTCTTGTAAGGATACAAATCAGCCTGCTTGTAGAACTATTAACAACCTCAAGCTGCACGTAATCACTGCCTTAATGATACATGTTTGAAGCAATTTAGTTTAAAATTTACAGTCATTTTACCCTATATGCGAAAGTGAGGATTAAAATGATGTATTGGCTGTCAACTGGTAGAATGATTTGTAGCTCTTTCATGGTAAAAATGTTAATTTGTATTTTAATTAAATTGTAAGAATTTCACACAGTGGAATTCCTAGTAACAATACAAATTACTTGAAGGAAATTATGCTAGAATGACTGCGTAAAGTTACATACACGAGAAAACACCAGAAAAAAGACAGACAAGCAAACAAGAAAATAAGTTAAATAATACTCTACATGCATCAAATGCCCACTTTCCCCAGTAGCATTTAACAGTGACTACGCTTGTCACAGTATGCTGGAGGATCCCACAATATGTATAATTATTTTTTAAATTGTACAAAATGATAATATTTCAATTAATACCCAAAGAAAGAGAATTAGAATAAAAATCTCTGTGTGTTGTACTAGAATATTAATGAGCCTGAATTTATAACTGTTAATTTTAGGAAGGACTATAACCTATAATTTCTAATCTGCCTCAGTGTGGACATAGAAACCATAAATATCACACTATAGTGATTGAATAGATTGCTTTCTGTATATGAAGCACATTTACTTCTATCTGTAGTCAGATGTGTGTGTCATCAGTCCCAAGATTTAATAGAAATCAAAGAAAAGGGTGTCTGAAAAAAGCACTAAAAGATGCATTTGAAATGTTATAGACTAATCTTCTGTAAATTGCATGGTACTATAGCTAGAAAGGATATATTTTTGTGAAATATCAGTGAGTTCAGATGTAAGATCATATCCAAACACGGATGATTCAACTAACAATCTTCAGGAGTATACAGTGTGACTGAGAAAAGTTGGAATTTCCTGCAACTCGTGTTTGTTTTGAGAAAAATAGCAGTTAGATCTTGTTAGCTAAGAAGTTGCTTAATTTAGGCCTCTTTATCAATACCTATGGTTTAAGAAAGTAAGGACTAAGTATGTAGTCTCAGATAATTTATTTTGAATTTATTCTTTTGACAAGTAAAATATGTCCCATGGTTTTAATAATGAGGAGAAATGAGGTTGCTTAACCTGTAGCTCTTCATTTTTAAGCAAGGAAGAATTTTAATTATTAGGGGGAAATAACATCGAACGTTAAAAAAAAAGCTTCCTGTTTATAGCTTCTACATTTGAATCATCTGCTCTTTATCTCTGTACCTCAGTGAAGTCTGCTGCTATTTCAGATCTTTGTGAGAAACATTTTTTCCCCAGACACACTTATATAAAGATACAGATGTACTTTATGTATGCTGTTATCTTCTGGCAGTCCTTTTGTCATCATTTGTTACTCTGGTTTACAAAAGATTTTTAAGGTAATGAGCACAGTGACTACAATGAGAATGGGAACTCGTGATCTGACAAGGATGACCAACTTGGCTGCATAAAACTACAGATTGGTAAAACTGCAAAAGTTGGGGTGCAATAGCGGCAATCCGTTCGCCTGTGTGCAAGCACACTGTGATTTAGTGTGTGCACTAGCACAAAGAACGTAATGTTTAAAACAGGGAACTATTTAATACTTGCTTTCATAGTCAAATGTGGGTATATCTCCATTTTTACATAGTGCCTAGACTGGATTGTGAACTGTGTATTCTAACAGCGGAGAAAGCAGAGCTTTAAAAATGAGAATCTCATTTGTACATACAAGTAGACTTCTTTTGAGATGAGGCGGATTGAGCAGAGGGTCAGCGGTTGAATATCCAGGGCCCTACTCAGTAAAACAGTCTGTTCACCTTTGACTCCATCTGAAAGCCAAAGTCAAAGTAGAGGAAGGAATTCAAGTTCTCTTCTGCTTCTGCTTTCCCCCCTCTCTTGTTCAAAAGTGTAGCCCTGTTGAACTAGCTTTAACTACAGTCACCTTAAAATTTAAGACTTCTCAAATAGTATCAAAAGTTACTATTAATTTTTTTAGAAATGTAAGTCACAGAATCACAGAATCACAGAATCACAGAATAGTAGGGGTTGGAAGGGACCTCTGTGGGTCATCTAGTCCAACCCCCCTGCCGAGGCAGGGTCACCTACAGTAGGCTGCACAGGATCTTGTCCAGGTGGGTCTTGAATATCTCCAGAGAAGGAGACTCCACAACCTCCCTGGGCAGCCTGTTCCAGTGCTCCGTCACCCTCAGAGGGAAGAAGTTCCTCCTCATGTTCAGACGGAACTTCCTGTGCCTCAGTTTGTGCCCATTGCCCCTTGTCCTGTCACTGGGCACCACTGAAAAGAGCTTGGCCCCATCCTCCTGACACCCACCCTTCAGATATTTGTAGGCATTTATAAGGTCCCCTCGCAGCCTTCTCTTCTTCAGGCTGAACAAGCCCAGTTCCCTCAACCTCTCCTCGTAGTGGAGATGCTCCAGTCCCCTCACCATCCTTGTAGCCCTCCGCTGGACTCTCTCCAGTAGCTCTTCATCCTTCTTGAACTGGGGAGCCCAGAACTGGACACAGTACTCCAGATGAGGCCTCACCAGGGCAGTGTAGAGGGGAAGGAGAACCTCCCTTGTCCTGCTGGCCACACTCTTCTTGATGCACCCCAGGATCCCATTGGCCTTCTTGGCAGCCAGGGCACACTGCTGGCTCATGGTTAACCTGTCGTCCACCAGGACACCCAGGTCCCTCTCCGCAGAGCTGCTCTCCAGCAGGTCCACCCCAAGCCTGTACTGGTGCATGAGGTTGTTCCTCCCCAGGTGCAGGACCCTGAACTTGCCCTTGTTGAACCTCATCAGGTTCCTCTGTGCCCAGCTTTCCAGCGTATCCAGGTCACGCTGAATGGCAGCACAGCCTTCTGGTGTATCTACCACACCTCCCAGTTTGGTGTCATCAGCAAACTTGCTGAGGGTACATTCTAACTCTTCATCCAGGTCGTTGATGAAGAAGTTAAACAAGACTGGGCCCAGTACTGACCCCTGAGGGACACCACTTGTCACCAGCCTCCAACTAGACTCAGCGCCGCTGATGACAACCCTCTGAGTTCTGCCATTCAGCCAGTTCTCTATCCACTTCACCGACCACTCATCCAGCCCACACTTCCTGTTAAACAGTCATACTACCTGTTTTCACAGTACCTGAGCAAGGTTCATGAGCGTATCTCTGAAGTGTCCTGAGGTCTCAGAATCGATGTCTTGTTGAAGATCATTGTTATATTCTAGGTTAAACCAAAACCAGATAATCTAAGTCACAAATGAACATGCTCTGAATAGTACTAATGAAGATTAGCAAACAAAAGATAAATAAATAGGGTGCAAATACTCGTCCATTTTCTATGGTGATTTTTCCACAGTAACCCGTGCAGGTTCTACGCAGAGCAGCCATCCACGGGTGCAGCCCCACCACCACAGCTGCTGCTGCTGTGCAGCACTGGGATACTTGGAAACGCCCTGTCAAGGCAGGCGAGTGGAGTGTCCAGCCTGAGTAAGCACTTTTTGAAGTAAAACATCTTATGTACTTTTCTGAATAAAGTATGTGAATGTTTCTGAAAATTCTTAAATGTGGCTTCCAGGTATTTCAGATGCCATAGGCAGCAATATATGACATAGTTACAACTTTAAACATTTTGCTTCAGCCTTTTGTATATATTTGTGGGAGAGGATGGGGAAGGGAGCCAGTTAGTACTGAGAAGTAATTTTTGTAGTTCTGTTCACAGCACACATAGTACAACTGCTGCTGTACACTTGTAAAAAACATTACGCATTAAGTAGGCTTCTTTCATCTGGAAAATCTCCATATTTGATCTTGAGGCTAATATGTCGATTAGACATCTTTCTTCTGTGTCTGCTCCCTGGGTGGAAAGAAGTAAATGTGAAAAGATGTTGTTAGTCGAAACCATAGCTTTTAGAAGAAAGCAGTGCTGCACTTATCAGAAGTAACTAAAGAACAGCAGTCTGTGCTGGAGCAATGCAGAGTACACTTTTTCACAGTCTGCATGTCTAAATAGAAAATGACTTAAAATTAATAGTAGAACCCTGTGTTTCAAATATATTCCTGCTTAATCTGAATTGCAGCATGTACATTAGCAAGTGGGGAATGAAGCAAGACTGGAGTTGACCAGAAACATAATGGGAAGAATTTTAGAGCTTTAGTAAGAGTTTAGGATTTACTGAAAGAAATCAGATGCAAAGTTTGAGCGTACATCCCCAGCAAGTGTTCAGGCAATCTGAAGTAGATATGAGCACAACCGCTATGTTGTGCTGCTGTGTTGGTTTTTTGATTTATTTTTGAAGGTTATGGTCTATAATGTCTCCCGTGAAACTTGGTATTTAAGGGAAGCATCATGGCTGTACATACAGTGCTACAAATCACTATATTTTCCCACAGGATTTTAATTCATTTTATAAAGTTGCATTGACAGAAGATACACTACGTATGCTGCTTTTTATGTGCACATGTGTAGTGTTTGTGAGTATTTTACATTTGGGATAAATGGCAGAGCATGACATCGAGCCTGAGACTGGAGACACACACGGCCTGTTTTTTACTGTGGCCATATGAATCCAGATCAAGATAGAATTCTATAAGAAAGGTTAACTTTGAGCTATATTTAAAAAAATATATAATTTTGGCAACCTTGTCAATAAAAGTCATGCTTCCAGTGCTACCAATGATATTTCACAATGTTTTTAATGCCAACTATAATTAAAAATATAGCAGTAGTTCTAAAAAGTGCATTGTTTTAAGTGTGTGAATGACAAGATAAAACAGTGTTAATTTTTTTTTTTGGAAGGGATTCTCAAAATATGGAAGATAGATCACCTTGCTCATAGTCGTATAATCTGGGTCTTATTTGTGACAGTGGACAGAAGCAAGTATTCATGTAAAGAAAAGAAAAACAGTGTTGAGGTCTGATATGCCTTCCCATCTTCCAGAAATTGTCAATTTAGTCAATTCCTGAGAAGGAATTTGGCAAGGATTGTTTATTTTCAATAACAGTGGACCTGTTTGCTAGGCATTTATTGAAGTTCTTTACGAACTGATTTGTGCTTTTGGCCTCCACACTTCCCTGAAGGAATGAATTTCACCATTTAATTACGTGATCTTTGAAAAATATTTTTGTTTGTTTCAAAACTTCAGTGGTTTAAGGAGCGCAGGCTCATATCCTGGGAAGAAAAGGGGAGATTTTCGTCAAAATGTGCAATCAGTTCAATTTAAGTGGAGTGATCATTGCTTTGTCACAGAGTAATTTTTAAGTGTTTATGTAAAGACATGTTCTGCTAAAGAAGCATTGGTCTTTTCAGAGGTGGGGGCTGAGTGCATGGTGCTGGCTGTTCAAATTAATGTTGTTTGTAACGTACACAAATGCTTGTAGGATCAGGGCCTTACATTTCCCTGTATAAATAGTTCTTCAATTACTGAGTTTACCATGGGTGTTAAATAGGTCATGTTTGTTACATGACATTATTTATGCTGGTTTTAGCACACCAATGAATAACCTTCCTATAGGGCTGTATTTCTGATGACCTAGTGTACTAACTTCCAGCAGTTTATAAACCATTTAACTGTCAAAAAAATCAGTTTAATATATGTTCAGTATTGTAATTGGTGACTGTAACTTTAAACAATTCTGAATTTGACAAGTACCTTCAAGGCATGCCAGAGCTCATGGGCATCGTAGGAGGCAGGTGGATACATCAAGCCAACCATTACTTCTTTGAAGTGATGAGAGAGATTCTCTTTTAGGTCCGTTATCAGATCCTTGAAAAGAAAAAGAAAATGCGTAGACAGGATTATTTTCATAGTCACACTTTATGAAGACAGCTTAAAAAAAGTATGAGTGATTTTCTCGTAAATGAATAAAGATGAACTGTCGAAGATGAATTCTGGCTAAAACTAAGTAAGAAAAACATTCTTTTAAATAGGATCTGCTTCTTCTAATAGTGTGGGTGAGGTGACAATAGACACACAAGCCAGTAGGCCCCACAGGATTGTTGATTTTCGGTTCATTAGAATACAGAAGAAAATTCAGGGGTTTAAGTGAAACTACTACTTAAAGGCTCAGAAACCTGAATACCATGGCAGAGCATCTGTAGCTTCCCGTGGTGTGTTCTCTGTGTGAATCTGTGGGACCTAAGCACCTCTGGAAGTCAAATCCCATAGAATAGAGGCGATTTCTTATGCCTTTTTCAGTGTTACTATGTGAATAATTAAAAAAAAATCCATATTGCTCCTAGTACATAAAAATATCTGCTTTGGATAGAAGGTTACGTGTGTTCCAATTTATATATATATTACATTCAAACTGAATTCACTACTTTTGACAGATGCTGGATTAATAAAAAGGAACCCCCCTCCTCCCCCACATGTGTCTCAGTATTTGCCTGCCAGGTAGCTGAATAATGGATGAGAGTTCTTCCCCACTCTCCCCGTTGCTGGTAGCATCCTTCAAAACACTGCAAATGCCACAAGCTTGTTAGTTATTCTGTTGCTGTTCCTGATTAAGAGGATACTTGCATGCTCCTTTTTTTTATGTTTTGTGTGCAGCACTAGGCAGCTGTCAGATACGTTCTGACCTAAGTCTGAATTTCAAGGAGTACCAGAAACTGTTCCCTTGATATAAACTATTATGTTTTCAGATCGTCCTTTTTTTCAGGCCTGTACTTTGGTTTTGATACGTATCTGAATATAATTAAATTAGTAGCTAGAGTAGCAATGAAGGAGGACATATATACATTAAAAATTGGATTTGTCATGAAGAAACATACGCAGTCTTCAGTGAATGCAAATTAGATGCATTTGACAACCACTACATCACACACGGAATAGAAATTAATTCATTAAGACATTTCACTTTTGACAAAATGCCTGTGGGAGAACGGATTAATAATACAAATGGATACTAATTAAAAATTACTCCTGCAATCAGAACTAAAGGAAGTGAAGAAATAAGAAAAGACAACTCTATGTTGTCATTATTAACATTTCCTAATTGTCTCTGCTATAAGAAATCCTCAAAGGCTAATTGTAAGAAGGAATCTTAAAGCTTGTCAGTATGTCTGAATCAAGCAAGCAGTTCAGGGTTTTGTTTCCTTTTCTTATATATTTCTCCTCCTAACGTGTCAAACTCTGTATTTGTCAAATGAATGGCCGTAGTGGCTACCATATTGAACAGACTGAAGTGAAATTAAGAGGGTGGAGGATTGGACTGGTAGGTTTACCACAGATTAAACTGAGAAGGCTATAATTGTTGCTGCCTAGCTGTCTGTCTTCTCTATCCTGCAGAGTTTACCGGTCGTAAGCTGGGACTGCCAAATGGCACATTTGCCCAATGCAGTATATCCATTAATACAGATGGCAGCCAGTGAATGCGATCACAGAGGTGTGCTAAAGTATCTTCTGAAGTGTAAACTGCAGCAGTTCAGGGCGAGACGCCTCCCAGTCTGTTTGGCAGTTCCTGCCCAGGACAGCAAACTTTTGAGGGATCAGTCAAGTAAACTGCATGGAGCACTAACCAGATTAGCCGTCTCAGTATATCTGCTGTCACAGGTGAGACAACAAAAATCAGCATCCTGTTGCATCTCTGAACTAGATCAGAGATTCCTACTGACCCCTGTTTCCACGTGGCAAAACGTAGAACTAGGTGGGGTTTTTTGGAAAGCTGTCGGGAGTATCTTGATATCCCTTGCGCTTTAAACTACACCCAGTGCTTAATGGATTCATTCAAATTAAAATTGTGGGTGTACGTACAAGATGTTCCATGAGTTTCAGAATTTTCTGTAGCCTATTGCTGGAATATAAAAATAGTTTGCTTGCATTTTCCTTCTATTATCATTCATGGTTTTAGAGATTGAAAATCTTGAAAATTACAGCTGAGGTTTTCTTCAGCTTTTTTAGTTCTTCTAGATCTTTAGGTCTGTGGCCACTGGCTTTGTAGCACTTCAGGTTGACTGAATTTGGCTGACAGGTATAAATTTAAAGCTGATGTGGCTTCATAGGGACTTATTTGTTTATTTGTTTGTTTATATTATTATTTTGGATTTGAAAAGAGAATCCAAATAGATCAGTGGTGAGCAAGTCAATAATTGTTCTCTTTGAATACTAAATATGGAAAATCATAACACCATTGCTGAAGGGCAATTGGCAATTCTTTATTAAGATACCTTTAGTGTTATCTCTGGGTCATCTTCATGTGTCAGAGGGCAGAAGTTAAAAAATGATACGGAGTTTTTAAATGTTTTCCCTTGTTAAAATGATAGATCCAATTGAAACACTCCAGAGAAAACGTGAAAAGAACCTAGGCAGCTGCTATGGATGGCGTAGAGAAGGAGCACCATCCAGTGATTAAGGAGATAAATGAAGACTTGAACAGAATGGGCTTAGGAGCTTTGCTATCACAAGCAGCTTTGGGTAGCTTGACACGATTCAGTTTTCTGTAAGTAAAACTAAAACTCAGTGAGGAACGTTGCATGGATAAACACTGAACGTGTGGTTTGCATGTGTAATGGTAACCTAATAAATACCTCATAATAGAAAACCACTTTTAATCATTCAGATACAGATGTTTCAATCATTGTCACAGTGTTTGCAAGGTAAGGATAGCTGTGATTCAGTTATTGTTCTTTTATGGACTATTTAAAACATACTCATCCATTCACGGCTGTATCTAAAATGTCACAAATATTGTGCGTTTGAATTTTGTAACAGTCCAACTAAAGCCAGGGATCTCCTATAGGTGAATAAAAACACAAAATCAACCCACTACACTGACTAAATCCAGTTTCTCTCTTTCCCCCAGTTCTAGGAGAGTAAGGGGGTGTTCCAGCATATTCAGAGGTCAACAGTTGTGAGGTGTTTTGGTATACAGGTGGCTCAAAGACTGTTTCTGGAAAACTGCTCAGCTACCCAAAGAAGAATACACGTAGTGCTAATAGACTGGTAGCTAACAGACTACAGCATCAGCAGTTAGTGTGGAGTTTTTGAATGACCTTTCCCTAGTTAACTCTAATTAAGGCTGATGACTGTGTGGTAGGATTTCTGCAAACTCCCTGTCCTCATTCACGCTGATCTATTCAACGGCAAGCATGCACTGACCTTCAAGGCATTTTCCAGTGGGCCATTAGTTTTTCAGGCTTCAGGAAAAGAGGAAAACTGAATTTTGCCTAAAATGTTTGGCTGGCTTCTATTAGGGGAAGAGTGCGTCTGTGCAATTTAATCACAGCATTTTTCTTTAGCTTTCCAATAATATCTACTTTCATACAGCACTTTTCATCGCTAGATTTCACAAGGATTTTACAAAGGGTGTTGCTATTATTTTCACCCTTATGTAGCTGGGGTAACTGAGGAAAATGCAGGCATTGCAACTTTCCCAAAGGCATTTGGTTAGCAGCGGTACATCTGGAAATAGAATGAGGATATCTGACTCTGTATGTGTTTGAGAACTCATATAACAAAAATTACCTTGTTGTATACAGTAAATATGGATAAAATGCATTTGGACAAAAAAAAGGTAACTTACTATGTATTCAAATTTTTTGAAACACCTTTCAAAGAATCATAAATTTAACATTAAGCAACTCAGATTAGTATTGTACTTAGGGTATAGACGGGATTACATGATATGAGGTCTGAGAGTGCCACTGCTTGAGATGAGAACATTGATCAGTGCTTGAATAAGATACAACTACCTGTAATTGCTGGTATGCTGTTTTTCTTTGGTATTTCAAGCCAAATACAATACTATTTTGTGATGTATTTAAAAAAACTTGAAAAAAGTAATGCAAAAATCCCCAAAAGCACATAGAGAAAGAAACAAGTCTGTCCTGAAATTCTGGTTTTGTCAATAGAGGAGGAGAATGAACTGTAGAAGAAACTTTCCATGTCCTTTTTTTTTTAACGTTGTATGTGGCAGACATACTTCTACTGCTAGATAAACGACAATTTGAAACCATCACAGGCATCAGTAGTTACATGAGCAAAGTTGTATGCCAGTCTGTTGGTGCCAGCCAGCTGTCTGCCAGGCTTTTGGTTCCAGTGACTACTGTGAGAGAAGGGCTGACCAACCACACAGGAGACGGGAGAGACAGAAGTAATTGAAGTACAAAATGGCTCTGTCATACCCTGCCATACATGTCTCTGTATGCCTCAGCAATCATAAGCCGCTGTGAATTGCAACGCTGCGTTAGGATATCAATCAACACATCTTTTTCACAACCTGTAAAGAAAATACGACACAGACTCTAAATTAAGAAAGAGTAGTCATTTACTTACATTGATTAGTGTTCAAGAACATTTACCTAATTTCTTGAAAAAAATAGATCAACAGATGAATATCCCACTGGTATTTACCATCATCAGTTATATTTACTGTGCTTCGGTGCATTTCACTTGCTGGTGTAATACCATAAAAAATTGAAGTAGTCTGTTATTATCAGATGCATCACCATCTCTCTCAAGCTCAATGGATTTGAAAGCATCAATAAAACAGATACAGGCTTTCATCTATTCAGAACTAGGCACACTAGCAGAATTTGTGGCTGAGCCTGGGAAGTATACTTGTATGCCCTGTTGATATTGATTAAATTGTCAATTCAGGATTAGGGGTCTCTTATGGGGATGACAAATTGTGGTCAGAACATTTGTTGCAAAACTGAAAGATATTTGCAGAGGAACTAGATAAAATAAGTGATGAAGTTTTAGAGAATACAATATTTTAACCAATTTCCAAGGGCATTTTGTTGAAGGCTACCTATGATCTTTTGCTTAATAGCTGGAGAGTACTGCTAAACTTCTATAATGAATCAGTATTAACTGCTTACGAAAAAGAAGATAACGATTAACATATTCTGAAAATTATTTTATAATTCAACAATTTTTTTGCATCCCAAAAGTTGCACTTGGTCATTGTAGATGGCTCAGCATTTTAGTGACATTACAGCGTAGATGTATCTCCAAGTGCAAATCAATTGACTTGACACATTTGCAGCGGAGATGAAATAGGCTTGTAAGTGTGGGGATCAGCTCGTATCTGAATGGAGTAGGGTAGTCTCTTATGTTTGTACCAGTCATTGTTATATAGGTGTACACATATATATATGTATGTTCCAGATACACATTCTGTACCTTTTACAGCTTTGTTAGGCAGATTTTATCATATAATCTATAACTGACAGATTCCATTTTGACACAAATGTAATTGGACACTGGATACATTTTTTCTTAACTTGGCAGAGAAAGTCTGTATTTGGTTATTATACACCAGGTTTAGTTCTTTTTCTTCTGGATCATCTAGCCGCAATCACATCAACTTTTAGCTAGGCACTGATTTAACATCAGTCTCATTAATTTCCATCAACATCACAAAATGGAGGTATTACTGAAACTCTGTGCATAAGGATTCCTTTTCACTTTTCAGAAAATAATTGTCACCAGGAATCTGTACAATTTCTATTGTCTCTGCAGTAAAAAATGAGAAGAATTCAGGAGATATTTAAAAACCAAAATAACTTTATTAATTTGTGTAATACCACTGGTATCAGTGGGACAACATATGTGACTGAACCTCCTCACAAGAATGAAGGTTTTGTGCAAGATTCAGGGTCAGGGTGTCAGTGCCTGCAAAGGCTATGGAGACTTAAACTCCTCTGAAGCTGAACTTTTTATTTTGTCTGTTATCCTTGAAATTAGAACTTTTTTTCTATGTACTGTGATAGATAGATTAAAACTGAGGTTAATGTACTTGTATTTACAATATTAAATGAAGAGAATCATCTCTTGAGTTGTCATGTTAGCAACTTTGCGTTAAAAGTACTGTTTCAAGTTGAGCAAAATGTTTAAAACTTTTCATCTGTAGTCAGTTTAATCAAAAAGATGCTTCAGATTCCCTTTGATCAATAACACTTATTGTGGTTCATTTGACATTAAGTCTGAGTCCTCACATTTCTATTAAACCGAAAACAGAATGCAAGATTTGGTGCTGTACAGCCTTACGAAGGGGTATAAAAATCCTGGTACAGCAAACAATTTCAATGTGAGGAAAATGTTTCAGATAGTAAAAAAAAAAAAATCAATATTCTAACCCTCAGCAATACCAACAATGTTCAAAAGGAAAACACAAAAATCTGAACAGGGAAAAATGCTTTGGTGAACACAATTTTTTTTGTACATAGGCTGGAAGCAAAAATTGCTCCTGAGTGAAAGATGATAGAGTCTTTAAACTTCCTACTCCTTTTTTTTTCCCTGATGACTGATTAAAAAGACTTAACTGTCCCTGGTAGTAGTTAATTGTTGAAGTTATAGTTAAAAACCTTTAATTTGTTGGCCTTCACTGTAGTGACATAATACAGAATTCTGGTGGTTTTTTTCTTATTTTCTCAAGGAAAGCATTCATTGCTGTAAGTGTTGGTACCGATTTTAGATTAATCTTCATCACCTCTTAGCTCCTGTAAATGCAAATACATGATTTATTTGGACATCACCAATGTGTCTTATTGTGATGCCTTGAAGAATCAACAGATACATGGTGACACTTTTAATTTTATGAGTTTTTATTTTGCTTGATGCTTGTTATTTTATGAGAGCTTTCTGAAAAAAAAAGGTGTGTTAGAATCAGTCAAGATACTCACTAATTCCCTGTAGGGCTCCTCCTAGCAACTGAGCATCCATAATAGGGTTAAAATTTGGAGCAGGAAAAATCGTTCCTTGTATCTGCTAAAGGAGAAAGCAGCCTTTAATCAAGGTGGTTTACATCTATAACACTGCATACATAATTCTGTTGAAAAACAACAATCACAACATTAAATTGTCTTTTCTTCATCGGGAACAGTTTTTAATTTATGAAACAGAACTTGAACTTGCAGTAAGCCCTAGGAAGACAGACCATGTTTGAGGAAGTTGCCACGAGCATGAGTTAGGCCTGAAAAAAAAATTTAATACTAATTAATTTTTTTTACATTAAAATCTAACCACATTTTTGCTCTCTCTTTCTCAACCTTTTTCTGAAAATACTATTCTATCTTTCAGAGTTAATCCATGATATCCCTGACAGTCTTCAATATCTATTTCTCATGGTATTTCTAATTTGAAAGGACTAGTGAGAAAATGATGAATGAGATACATTTTTTAAAGAACTGATGTTACTGCCAAGTGTGAGAGATCTTTCTGATATGCCATGTAGAAGACAACACCATTTTTCTAGTTGCTTTGTAACTGATTAAATTACTGTCAGTTCATTCTCAGTGATACTTTTTCATGTATTTTTTCTTATTATGTTACAAGAAATCTGTGAATAATAAACAGAACTGATGTACTCATTTTAGTAGAATCACTGACCAATACGTATACAGAAGAAAATAACTGAGGTTGAAAGCTACTTAGCACTGTTCTCTGGTTAATCTCTTTAGTTCCTCTGAGGATTCTACCTGCTTTTCCAGACTTAGCAAGTATAAAGGTTTTTATGATGATTCCTGGTCTTAGTCAATACTTCTGATTAAAATGACACTGTTAACTTGCTGTTTACATTTCAAAGAATAATGGGATATATTTTTTAAATACAAAGGGGGTATTTTTACAAATACCTGCTAGAATCAGGAGTTGTGCTGATTACACCAATTAATTCATTTGTGTGTTTGCTTGCATTACACACACTTGAAAGGCTTTTATATGTTGTGCCTTCAGTAGTAATAATATACATGTACAGATTTTGTGTATGGCACACGTGTATGGCTAATCATGCTTCCCTGGCTTGCAATTTTAGCAAAGGAATTAAAAAGCTCCAAGCAAGAAGTGGATATTTTAGATGAGAAGGAAGACATAATATCTTGATATGTTTCATCATTACTTTAGACCCACCAGGCAAAGGTAAGGGCAAAAAATTGCCAATGGCTAAGTGAGGAAAATAATGTATGGTCAGAAATTTAAGATTTTTAAAGGACTGACTTACTTTAAAAAGCACTAATAGGGCAACGTGCCTTTACACAAAGAAGGAAGCACTCACCAGTAGACAAATGTCCATCTGCAGTTTGTTCATCATTTAAATACAAGGTCCTACTTTTACAACTAAACATAAATTACGTAGTGCCTTTTTACTCATTAAAACAATCAATCAGGAAAACAATGAGAAAAATAATCTTTTGGAGATACGGTGATAAATACTGGCCTTACAGAAGACAGTGAGACCATGCCAGTTTTTGTAGGTTGGTATATGTTGTTGTATCTAAAATGAACTGCGAACTCATCCTTAAGATATGCTCCATCCCATTTTCCTTTGTCAGCGTGGGAACCCTGAGCATCACTTGTCACCTAACTTATCTCTAGGGTAGGGCTCTGCAGATACTAGCCTCAGAATCTGAGAGTTTATATCCTCATGACGTCCTAGTTACTGACAGTACACATACTTCCAAATGTCATTCACCAGAATTTTCCTAGGCACGCGCTGTTTGCAGCAGTGTGGAGTTCAAGTGCTGTTTGGCCAGATGGTACATGAGGCTCCATTTTTCTCCCCCTCACTAGCATGTCAAATAATGCTGACCTTAGTTCAGACATCATTCTCCACAGCTCAGGAGACAGAAATGCTTGAGCTCTGTGGCTGGTCAGCTAGACAAACCACCCCGAAGCTTTCTAATAATCAATATCACTATGGAAAGAAGAGCTAGAAGGCACTGTTAGAATGCAAAATCAAAAATATATATTGATATATGCTATGAGATAGGAAAAAATGAAGTTTAGCTGTTTGGGTCTTTAATTCATGCTTCCCAAAATGTCTGAGCCATGAAAAAGCTCATCAATCTTGAGAGGAAAAATAAAACAAACCCCAAACCTACAAATCATCAAATATTATATTGCATTTGCCAAAGCAGAAAACATTTTGATGGGAATATTAATAAAGAATAGTAGGATGCAAATAGATGCAAGTAAAAGATATGAAATTGAAAGAGTTTGAGCCTGCACTTTAAACCATAGAAAGTGTAAGTATATCTGGCATTCAGCATAAGTGCTCTCTGACCCTGTCCCAGCCCTTGCTGGTCAGAAGGGTGGCAGTGGGGAGGAGAGAAAATGTAGGAAGCGTGCATTTATTCAAATCTAATTTAAAATACCGGTGCTGGCTCTTCAGCTCTTCGTGGGTTTTGCACAGGTTCAATTTCTGTAAACACTAGTTATTTCAAAGTATTTCCTTTCACACATTTAGGTTTGTGGTGTCACAAAATGAACCACTGTGTCGCTGATCTTTTCAGCATTTATGATACTTGCACTAAAATCAGAAATATGTGACTACCTTAGTGAATGCTTTGAGGGTGGATTCCTGCGTAGTCCCTAGAATGAAAAATGAGTAAAAGTGGGTTTCGAAGTAGATCTCACCTCTCAGTCAGAACGGAGGCAAGCATTAATAATTTCTGAATATTTATCCTCATTCATGAAACAGTCAAAAATAAGGGCTTTGCATGAATGCATATTTGCAAAATGGAGGGATTGATCATAGAAAAAAGTTTTGAATTTGCAGGCTTGTAAATTTTTGACCAAAAAACTCAACACAGCTCTTTTAATGTGTCTTTCAGGCAAAATAATGGATTTTTGAATGTGTTCTCCCTTGGTTACTTCTTTTATAAAGTGTTCACTGTCTCGTTATTTAAGGCTCACCATCAGTAGATTAAACCTCATCTAGTAGATGCCTATCTCCTAGCCAGGATCTAATTAAAAACACATTGCTTTTAAGCAGAACAAAATTAAATAGGAAGGTTCAGATAAAAATTTTTAGAAGATAGGATGAAATACAGCTTTTTACAAGTCCTTTGTGGGAAAGAAATCTCATCCTTTTTTTTTTCAAAACAAATTAAATATTAATTAAAATTTTCTTTTAATGTACACATTGTACTTGGCTTCGTCTTCCATCCCACAGAAGACATTTGTCCCAGAGTGTTATTTTTGATGAGGACTTTCAGTGTACCTCATATTTGGATTTTCAGAGTGATTTCTAAGCAAATTAGGCTTTTTGATAATACATAACAGTTCTCTGAACTGAGTTCTAGGATTTGCAGCTTATATACTATCAGGATCCTTGGAAGGAATTTCTGCATAACTAGTGATGTCTTACTGCTGGCATATCTCGCAGAGTTGTTGTTCCAAGGTTGTGTACCTTGAAGAAAGTACTTTGCCTCTTGGCGGTGTTTACATAAGCTAACCTTTAGGAAGTTTTATCCCAGGACAGCTTATGTCAGTTTTATCCTGTGACCACTTTCATAGCTTCAGTCTTTGGCAAGCCTGAAGAAGCATTCCTGGTTCACTTTATGCACTTAATTTCAAAATCTTCGGGAGTTTATTACTTATTAAACTTATTCCACCTGTTTTCATTGAATTATTGAAATACGGGCACAAGCAAGTTGGGGTCAAACCTTTAGAACTGAACTTTGGTAACTCTGGATCTGAATTCAGTGTGATTACACAGCGATAGCCTACCACTTGCTATGTGTTGTAGCCTGTTTTTTTTTTTTTTTTTTTTTTTTGTCCTGTAGCACATAATTTGAGAGTGCTGTGTGATATTTACTGGGGAAGGCAAGCCAAGGAGATTTATTGGGAGACAGTTTAGTGGAGGCAGGGATTGATTCTTGGATGCTGCGGTGCTGTCTGTGTCTCTCTGAAGTAAACCCTGTGTGCACAATCCATACGCCTGTCGCAGAGGATGGGGCCTTAGAACATGAATTCCACAATTTAAAAGACTTTTAATTTTTGTGATGGCAGGTGGCACTGCTGTCCTGTGGTGACAAGATGCTGCATAGCAGGTGAGAAGGAAAACACTTGCTTCAGAAGAAGTGCAGAAATCTGAGAGATTGCGTTTCTGAGCAAGCAACTGCTCTGGTGCCGTTTGGGGTAGTTTTCTGGGGAGAGTGAAAGCATGAAAAAGATGGTGTAGTTTTCAGTTGTTGAGCAAGACTGAATGCTTCCGGTATCTCCCGTACTGAGAGATAAACCTGGAGGCTGTGGCAGGCATTTTGTTTTGCAAAGATCTGTTACAATCTTGTCGTATTTTAGAAGCGTCTGTGGTTACAACAGGCTTTTGTTCGATATTCCTCAAGAAAACGAGGAAAAACATCAAAACAATACTCACCTTGGGAAAGCTGGGGCTCTGCTTGCAGAACCTAGGGCCCAGGGTGCACAATCGTCTTTCCCCCCAAGATTATACAAGGTTTGCATGTCTAAATGTGCCAAGGAAATGCACACCTAGCAGCAGTCTTCATCACTGCACAAACTAAGGGAGCAGAGCAGTAGAGGCATTTGGTAACTGAATGAAATTACAACAGATTGAATTTTGACCAGGGAGCAGGCAACTACATGGGAATAGCTCGTTCCTTTCCATTATCTTTGATTAGAGAATTGCTACCACCCTGTTTTGAAGGAGGGCATTTTTAGGGTTGATTGAACACCTGAGTGGAGATACAGGTACTGCTATTTCACTGCATTCATTTCCACTGAAGTCAGCTGTGAGTGACCAATAAACCCCTATAACGGAAGAAGGCTCAGAGGAGCTGGGCAAGGGCAGTGTGCCCATGTAGTTCAGGGAATAATGCAGGATGTGACTCACCACAGCTATTGCGAAGAAAGCTGAGTTTATCTCAACACAAAGAGGACCAAAGATAAACAGCTATCAACAGATGAGTGGATGAACTGGTGGTGTAATTATTTATACCTGCATGCATTAAAAGGGTGTGAATGTC